AAATGTCGATCTAGTGGGACCCGCAATCGGTAATAATGTAATATAGTAAAGACCCAACTCCTGCTCTTCTTGACGTTTGTAAATTGAAGAAAACGCGCGACGGGAACGGACAGGCCGTGATCGGACCGGCGGAAGACTCTTCTCGAAGCTTCGTTTCAGCGGAAAAAGGAGAGAGAGAGAGAGATAGGAAGATACAGTAGCCGAGTTTTACAGGGGAGGCAGAGATGTGGGTGTTCTACCTGATCTCGCTGCCTTTAACCCTAGGTATGGTGATTCTCACCTTGAGGTACTTCGCCGGACCCGATGTGCCTCGTTACGTCCTCTTCACCGTCGCATATACCTGGTCCTGTTCCCTTTCCATCATCATCCTCGTCCCGGCCGATATCTGGACGGTAATTTCTAGTTCTATTATACATGCTGCAATCTTTAATTTTTTATTTTTGGGGGATGGAATTGATTCTGTTTTGTGATTTAGGGCTAAATGCATCGTCAATTGAGATTATGGGATGCTTATAATTTTCTCTAGAATTTTTCTTTTTTGGATTTTGCTTTGCTCATGAACATCCTTGTTCTGTTAACAGACAATATCAAGGCCTCCAGGCGCTCCTGAACATGGAGGCATTTCTTTCTTTTGGAGCTTATCGTATTGGAGTACATTTTTGCTGACTTGGTACGATCTGTACAGATCCAGCACATACTTCCAATGATAGGAACTTTGGGTTATGGTGAAATATGTAGTGTTTTTATAATCATATATGCTAGTTTCTTTATATTCAATTCCAAAAAGGATGTAGAAATAATGATGGGTAATTCCAAATCTTATATATGCTAGTTTCTTTATATTCAATTGCAAAAAGAATGTAGAAATAATGATGGGTAATACCAAATCACGTATTGTTCTGTGCAATCTTCTCATGTATATGTGAAATGACAACTATTATCATTGTAACTACTGAATTTGCCTTCTTTAATTGTGTTAGATATACCAGCATCAGCATGCTTAGTGAGTAAAGATACTTGTTGCTGGTTTTGCAGCTCGTAATGCATTTCCTCATATACTTAAATTATGTCATCTCTAAGCAGGGCTGTGGTGCCCCTTATTCAGGGTTTTGAAGATGCTGGAGACTTCACCATGACAGAGAGATTAAAGACTAGTGTGCACGTCAACTTAGTTTTCTATTTAATTGTGGGATCTATTGGCCTTTTTGGTCTTATTCTCCTCATTATGATGAGCAAGGATTGGTGAGCTTCTTTACTTGTTATTGATTTGTTTTGCCATGCATTGGAGATTCTTATAGTCTATTCTTAATTTTGTTGGATGGAGCATAGGGGCATTTCATTAGTTTTTTCAAGTTCTTGTATGTAGGTTATATAGCTCCTGTATTTTGGTTTATGTTTTCTTTATTTATTTATTTATTTTCATTTTGCTGTTTTCTCCATATGCTGAAATTATTTAAATAGAAATGCCAAGACTTAGCATCAATTGCTGGTCTCTCAAATTATAGAGAAGCGGGTGTGGAAAAGCTTTTCCTCCCTCACCTGGTTGGTTGCTTGGCAGTTTTTCTAATATCTTCTCGTTATTGGCAGGAGTGGTGATATTCTGGGACTAGCTATGGGATTGTCAAATGCTTTTGGGCTTGTTACAGGTGCATTTCTTCTTGGATTTGGCTTGAGTGAAATTCCCAAGAGCATTTGGAGAAATGCAGATTGGACAACTCGCCAAAAAGTTCTTTCCCATAAAATAGCCAAAATGGCTGTCAAACTTGATGAGGCACATCAGGATCTTTCAAATGCTATTGTTGTAAGTCTTTTTAATATCAAGATTTCTTCCACTGTTCGGTTCCACTGGCTTCTTTGATCCTTAAATCTTTCCAGTATATATTTTAATTGTGCATTTGTCATTGAAAATGGCTGTGCAACGTTCAATCTTAATACACACATGTTCACATATTGTGATGTGGTGTGTCACATGTGTGTGATGACTGATCTGTGATTAAATGCTAGCCAAACTATGATGAAAGATAGTTTTTGAAATGGAAAGAAACATAAGTCTGGTGGTTCTTTACATCTTTGTTAGTTGCTTTTTTCCATTGTCTTTTAAAACACTTTTGGTCAGTCAAACTCAAATGTTATTGAAAGCCAGAGCGACTCTGTCCTCTTTTATTCTAAGATCTGACTCAAACAAAATAAGTTGTAATTTTCAGAAACATAACTGATGTTTTAGTAAATTTATGAGCTCAAATCATGAAGGATATATGGCCTTCTCAATATTCTTCAACATGTTTCCACCTTTTTGTTTTTGTATAGTAAGAAACTTTTAATGAATTTGGTTTCTTTGGTGAACATAATATTTTGATGCTACTAAGAACCTATTTATACGTAATTCTCAAATATTTCTAATTTTTCTTTGGGATATATGCTTTTTCTATTCTTGCCATGGTAAGCATTAGAGATGTTTTCCGTTCTCTCATGACGGTGATTTATGTCAACAGGTTGCTCAAGCAACATCTAATCAGATGTCCAAGCGTGATCCCCTAAGACCCTACATGAATGTCATTGAAAATATGCTGACTCAAATGGTATTACTTATTCTTGTTTATTTTGCAAATGTGGCTAATTTCAATATTGCTCACGTGTGTATGTTCAATTTATTCCCCAGTTTAGGGAAGATCCTTCCTTTAAGCCACAAGGTGGTCGGCTGGGGGAAAATGATATGGACTATGATACAGATGAAAAATCAATGGCAACACTTAGGCGTCATCTTCGGCAGGCTCGAGAGGAATATTATCGGTACAAAAGGTAAAGTGAATGATGAGATTTAGTCTTTTTAAATTACTCATTTTGTTTATGAAAAATGGTTGTATAAATGTGTGATGTGTGTGTGTGTGTGTCAAGAATTTATTTAGTATTATGTTTTCTGTGGTATAATACTATAATTTTCGTTTTTATATTCTTTACAGAGAAGTTAGGTTGTCAGTGCCAATATCAATAGTCATTTGGGTTTTTGTTGCCATCCTAAGTGTTTCTGCTTTGTGTGCTCATGAATTTAATGTTGCTTTATTTCTTCTGATGCATTACTGTGAAGCAGCTTTAGTTTTTCATTACTTGTACCCATTTAAGCACTATTCCACTCCAGAATTTGATAAAGCACATGTAATTATCAATCTTATAGTAGACTTGAAACAATCTGCTCTACTTTTTCTTTAATATTATGTTACTCTTTGCAGTGAGTATATGACCTATGTCACAGAGGCCCTTGAACTAGAAGATACAGTAAGAAATTATGAGCGACGCAATTCTACTGGATGGTTAACTCCTGACCTTGCTTTCAAACTGTCTAGTCTATTTCTTGTGCGTGTTCTAGATTTTTTTTTTTTTACCTGTAATTTTCATTTTCTGCTACTCCAGGAAATACATTTCAAGTTTCAGACCAAGTCGTTCTGGCAAAATTGGGGGACTCTTAGATACAATTGGTAATGATTTAATCTATTAACCAGCTGTTTCTTAAAAGTTCCATTAGATTGCAGAAGTGGTATTTGCTTTAGTTTGATGAAATTGTTATTTTGTTTTGTTTAGTTTTAGGGAGGACCCATAACGTCCAACACCCCCCCCCCCTTTTCCCCCTTTTCTCCATTCTCCTAGAAATCTGTGAACGTGGAAGCAATGCATTTGCCTTGGTTGATTGTTTAAAGCAAGGATGTATAATGCAAGACAGAGATAGGTGTTTGCATGGTTATTGATTGTCTATGTAATGATTTAGGGATTTTAGAACATGTTTCTTATTGGCTATGGGTTAATTGATAATGAGCAAAGATAAGCAGACATTTTGGATCCATCTGAAAGTGGCAAGAGATTGTATGGGTTAAAACTTGCTAAGGTAGTCAAATGGTATTTAATAAAACTTAACCATGTAAAATTTGTTTAGGACCTCTGTTTTTACTTTTTAGAGGTGTGACTGCATATAAGGTACTAGAAAGGTTACTTTGGAAGTTGAGAAAACACACCTAGGTCTGTTAGGAGAACTCATAGAAATTCCGAACACTTTTAGATTGAAAAGTGGATAGACAAACTTAGGATAATTCATTCAAATTACTTTAAAAATACTGAGAAAAGAAATGCCCCAAAAAGAATTCTTCCCCTCCTTGCCCATTCAGATGTAGATATGTTTATCATATATGCTCTTTCATTTTATTTCTAATATTTCCTTGCTGGCATGATACTGATGCTCCAATGCTTTTGGATAGATTCTTTTTGTTCTTTAAGCCACCTTTTGGGATGGAAATATATGTTTTCTGTATCTGTTATATCAGCAAGCAAAAGGGTTTGATAATAAATTTTAAAGTGTGACTTATGAATTAAACGGTGGTTACTTGCAGAATTTGTTTGGCGATGTATCCTAAGAAAACAACTAGAAAAGGTCTTAGCTATTATGCTTGGTATCATGTCAGTGGCAATACTTTTGGCTGAGGCAACTCTTCTACCTAGTGGAGTGGACTTGTCACTTTTCTCTATCCTTATAAATTCAGTAAAACATGAGGAGGTGCTTGTGCAGGTAAAAGGTTCATTCTTTTTCTCCTTGAATTGGCATTATTTATCCACCATATGAGGATATTAATAAAAGCAATATTAGATTCTTTTTTCTCTTGAAAGAGAGGGAAAGAAGAATGTTAGGAAAGTTCTATTGTGTATTAGAGAACAGAATGCAAGGAGAAAATTTCAGGTAAATGAACAGCTAAGAGATATTGGTTATTATAAGGATTTGCAAATTTTAAATTACATTTTTATCCTAATTGAATTCAAAAGTGTTTGCAATATGGTGCTAGTATTTGGGCATCTGAGTTTTTAAAAAAAACTCCACTCACAATCATTTCATTGGCAACAGTGTCATTGAAAAGCATGGTTGTCTCATCCAATTGTAAGTTGTCTAGAGTTTCCATTTGGTAATCAGTCATTTTGGTTGATCTTTCTTGTCTATAACCTGTTTTATGCTTGTTTCTTTCACAGAACTGTCTATCCATGGCTGTATATGGTTGCCAAATACTTTAATTCCTTTTGCATAATAATTTGTTAATTTGTTATTTGTTACATGAGTATTGTACATCTATTCATTCGCTATTGTCTTCCATTTTACCACCTTTGACCCTACTTTTCTGGGAATATCTTTTATCCTAGGCCTTTGCTTTTGTACCTCTGATGTATATGGGCGTGTGCACATATTATTCCTTGTTCAAGGCTGGAATGCTAATGTTCTACTCATTAACACCGCGGCAAACAAGTTCGGTCAATTTGCTTATGATATGTTCGTAAGTTATCCTCATATCTTTATTGTCATTAACCTGGCTTTACATCTCAATAAGTTCAATTGACTTACTGATTAATATCTCTACTAGGATGGTTGCTCGTTATGCCCCTCCAATTTCATACAACTTTCTCAATCTCATTAGCCTTGGTGAGAAGAGGAAAACTATATTTGAAAAGGTAAGTTTGAAAAGGTTCTTTTATTGTTGAACATATTTCTTTGCAGCTAAGAAACTAGAATTTAAATCAAATTTATATTTTATTCCTTCTGGCTCATTTGATTCTAGCATTGTCCATATCAAACACACATGGTTTACTTGTACTAGAGCTGCTTCTATGAGAAGGTGAAGAAAAAAGAACTATCACTATGGTGGGTGTCTGGCTGAGTTAATGTTGTATGGTTTCAATTAATATAAGTTTGTGCAACTGAAAGGAAAAAGAGAAGAAACTTGTTGAATTTTCTGTCACAGAAATTGTGTGCAGCATGAAATTAGCTACTATATTCCTAATGTTTGAGGAGAGTTTCTTAATTTGATGGTCCAGCTTTTTAGGCATTTATGCTGGATCTAATATTTCTTTAGTTGACATGAGGATTTTTGTATAACATGCTTGAAATTGACTGTTTCCCATGTTTGCTTTGGTGAATTATTAATTTGTGGTTGCAGCGAATGGGGACCATTGATTCCGCTGTTCCTTTCTTTGGAAAAGGATTTAATAACATTTATCCGCTGATCATGGTTATATATACCTTATTGGTTGCTGGCAATTTTTTTAATCGTGTGATTGATTTCTTTGGGAGCTGGAAGAGATTCAGATTTCAAACTGAGGCAGATGATATGGATGGATTTGATCCATCTGGATTAATTATCCTACAAAAAGGTAAGCATTCAGTTACTTTGTTACATGCAGCATTTCTTGTGCCTTTGTTGTAGCCATTTTGTGTAGTTTGTGGTAAGGTTTGTGATTTTTGGATATATATATATATATATATGTATATATGACCTGTTATGCTTACATACAAAGCATAATCTATGATTGAGAGATAACAAGTTGTTCTCCTTCCAGAACGGTCCTGGCTTGAGGAAGGTCGCAAGGTTGGTGAGCATGTTATCCCATTGGCAAGAAATTTCAACAATACTGACATTGAGCCTGGCAACAATAGCACAGTATGTTGAACGTATCTTGAGTCTTGAAAGATGAATGGATTGGTTATTCTACTCTTCATTTAGACTGCAACTTTATTGAACTGAATTTTGGAACAAATTATGAGGCCCTTTATATATATATCTTTAAAATCTTTTCTTTCCTTAGCCATCTACTGGCTTATTATTTACTTTTGAATTCATCCCTTCAAAGTATCTCATGTTTATGAAATATACTCTTAATAATATTATTTACACTCGTCCTTTTTTAATCTAAAATCATTTCAGGCTTACTTTCTGAATTCTGACTTAAGAGGCATACGTTTCAGGATCGGATTGACATTGAAATGAAGCCAACCAGTTCAGTCACTGATGGCATAAAAGGAGGTACGTCAAAAACTGTAAGAGAAGAGGCTCGTAGTTCATATTCCACTAGCAAAGAGGCCATTGGCAACAAGTATGCTGACATAAGAGAAAAGAGCAGACAAGCATCCAATGCAAAGTCAATGCAGAGTGACATCACCTCCGCAAAGGTCTCTTTGCTTGATGTAGGAAGCTCGAATGCTGGTAATTACACTGGAAGGCCATCCTCTGGTCTGGGTTCGACATGGCAATCAATGAAATCAGGTTTTCAAAATTTCAAAGCAAACATGGCAACAAAAAAGTTTCTTCCTGTACGCCAAATTCAGGAAAATATAGCTCTCTCTCATGTTTCCTCACCCGAGTCCCTGGATGAAATATTTCAGAGATTGAAACGACCATCTTTAGACCATAATGATGATGAGGATGATGATGAAAAAGTGACAGACACGAATGTTAGAGGCCCCAGTAGATGACCTTATATTTGCTTCGGGAATCAGCTTCTTTATGTTATCAAAGCTGTGTGATACACAATGTACAGGTTCTGGGTAAGCTTGGTGCTGGCTCAATACAGAATTTTGTCCATCATGTGATTTAACCGAGTGCAGGAAAGATGTCTTACCATACTGGACTTCCTACATTAAGAGGGTATAGGAGGGGAAACCAATGTGGCCCCGATATATGAAGTAAAGTAATTGCTTCAACCAACATTTAGGCACCTGCCTTGGTCGCGGAGTGTTTTACTATTACCTGATAAATGTTGGAACTAAATGTTTTTCATACAAAATAAAAGAAAAAAAGTTTGTTAGAACCGTTTCGACAAATGTTATCCATTTGTTCTTTGTTTGTATTTCCCTCGAGATTCCTTTTGAACCTTTCAATTGTTCATCTTCAGTTCTTCAAGTCCACGAAATAGTATGATCGGAAAGATAAATAGCTCTTGTTCTCCAATCCAAAAATCAAAATTTCCGAACCATGAAACGTTGCCAAGCTCAATACACATGAAAACGAAATTCAAAAGTGTGAAAGAAGGCCAAGAAGGTGAGTTCCGGGATGGAATTGCAAAACACCATTCATTGGATGTGGGGGTCTCTTTTATTGTCGGAGGGTAAAACACATTAATCGGATAGAGGGGTCTCTTCCATTGTCAAATGCGGCTTCTTACTCTAATGGTTAGTATTTTGCATTCTAATATATTTTGGATTATAAAATACTTTTTGGAAAAAAAAGTTGGAAGGAAGATTGCAGAACAGCAATTCATGACACTAATCCAAAGCTTCAAAATGGTTAAAGAAAAAAAAGAAAAAGAAAAAGAGATGATGTTTCCACCAAGAAGGTGCATTCTTTTGATTACCAACCATAACAAAAACTATGCACAATTTATTTCCTAAACTCTAACCGTTCTTGAATGCATCAGAACCTCCTTCTTCCCCTTCAACCCAAGCAGCTTCGACCAAAACCCTTTTTTCTTCTTCCCATTCCTAACCTCCCCACCAAAATTCCCATGCGCAAAAGCAACCGATCGACTTTTTCTCAAACTAAAATTCCCAATACCCAATACGTAATGAATCGATGCCGCCACCTCTGAAATATTCCGCTGATGTCGCCTGCGTCGTTCCGGCGATGCAAAACCCGAAGAAGGACCCAGAGCAGGGGAATACGAAGCAGAGGAAGAGGAAGAGCAGGACGGAGCCACCCTGACGATTTCTCTGTTGGAAGTAAGGGAAAGATGAGACAATTTCTCCGTCAAGCAATAGGGGCAAACCCCTTGAAGTTGGTGGTGATGCTGGTGCTTGTAGCACTCAATTTTTGATACAAACATCGCCATTTGTCTCCCTGAATTTCTAATTGTGAATGCATGCTCTGGTTCCATTTATATAGAAACCGGGGAGAATACGGGGAGTTGAGGGCCCGTAAATCTCTCTCCCATGAGTTGAAAAGCCCGCTAAATGGTCGGCGACGATATGGTGTACACCATGCACCCACGGCAAAGACGGAGCCCACATTGGGGTTCGATGGGATGACGTGGACGGAATGGAATTTTCTCTAGTTACCGTGCAAAGTAAAAGGCCGCC